CAGCAGGACAAAAGCAAACTGAATAAAGAGGTAGTACCAACTCATATTTCAGTCTTGACAAATGCTATCTAGTGTTCAGCAGAGGTAAATTTGAATGGCTTTTAACTCGTAAAGGGTCCAAAATTGAACACTGCACTGAAGAAAGGGATGCAGGTTTCACTGTAAACAATGCACCAGCGACCTGTTCAGAGTCCATCTGATGCTGAAATAAAACCCAACAGAATGCTATGGGGGATAAAGAATGGGGTAGACACAGCAGTTTTTTAAAATCCTGTTGTAGAAAAACTGAGGTATGTTAAAGGAATAAACAGTATTAAATAAAATGAAGAATGTTGATCCAGAATTTCTAAAACTAGAAGACTCAAGGGATGCTCGTGAAAGGTGACAAATTCGGTTCATTTACCCAAGTAGATTTTGGAACACATTGAGACCAGGAAAGAAGCAACATTCTGTCAGGGAATGAATGAAATGCTGAATGGATCTAAAGGAGGATTGAGAGAATGCAAATATATGGGGTTTTTTCATAATAATTAATTATAGGAGGTTTTAAAAGGCATGTAAAAGATAATGTTTCCAGTTTAAGACAATCTCTGTTATGAGTCAGGCTGAGTCCATCATGATGGGAAGCTTTGTTCTATTTTTAACTCAAGGTGGCAATACATGCACTTTTATTAGCCAATTTGAGACGGTCCCTCAATTGGATAATCAATAGGTGATGCAATATGGGAGTTTCAGAGTCCCAATGTTAGGCTCTGTATCTCTTCTCGTGTAGGCTTTTTTTGGAGAATTTGCAATATTGGTGTCCATGACTCCCAAGAAGGTAGTTCTCTGTTGTCACTGAAGGCATTTCACAAAAATTGCGCTCCACGATATGCAGAAAATTCGGTGCTCTGAATACGATTTTGGTATTATCTCCTCTGCATAGTGTAAGTCTAGCTAGTTCCACTGAAGTGAGGACCCTGTGCTGTCAAAGAGAGACATGACACTGAGATAAAACACACTGGATAGTTGAGACAGTTCTATCTGAAAATGTAGCAAGGCTGCCTTCACTTACTTTTAATATTTAGCATTCATGATCCTATGAAGCCTTAACAAAAGGAATGAAGCCATCAGGCAAACTTTGATTTTAAGAAGGCACTACCGATGAGTGTTACAATAAGGTGAGGTAGCCTGAAGGAGATAGTGAAGAATAGACTTTGGGAAGAACCATGCTTAGAAATTACATCTGAAAAGATACTGCTTGTTGTTGACTTTGCATTATTCCTTGCTTGGGTTTTAGATTTAAAAGAGGACTGTGAAGTCCTTATCATGTCTTACCATTTGCCTCAGACTGGATTCACTGCTTCCTGTTTGCCAAGTTCAACTCAACAGCTGCCTTTTGCACGAAGATGCTCTAGACGTCTTCTAAATATCTGCTACACTTTTGAGTGCCATGCAGATTACAGCAATACAGAGTTTAACAAATGATCTATATATGACACATGGAAAATAAAAATAGAACTCTTTATAACAGAATTTTATGCATCTTCATTCTTCCAATGAAGAAAATACAGAGCCAGATTCTGTTACCTTTACTCATATAACGTAAGAATTTTACTGATTTGGAATTGTATTGTGTATTAGCAATACAGTGTATTGCTATCAAACTAATATTCTGGTGGGACTGGGCACAGAGACAGGCAGCAGATCATCTTCTCTGACTTAGTACTCACACAAAGTACCATGGCCAGAATGTTCTAGTTTCCTGCAGTTAGCTCTAGATACATTTTGATTAAAGGTTATCACCTTTTCTGGCAGCAATACAAATTGCCAGGTTTTCCTGGCTTGCTTCCTGGTAGAGAGTTTTGAAGATATACGCCAAAAGTGTAACTGTGGGCACTCAGAAGTACTCACAATCTTAGAGAATGCTGAGAAGAAATATTGGAAATGTTTTCATTGTACTTCTCAGAAAATATCTCTGCGTGTAAATTGATCGCTAATTTGCTCTCTTTACAAAAAAAGGAAGTGAAGAAACAAGTAAAATATAATTGGTGCTTTCAAAATCCTCTGTGAAACCCGGACAGTGAGATAAGAATGCGGTCTTAAAATATTACAGTTCACTTAGGCTTTACTCTTCCTTCTCCCTTCCCAAAAAAGCTATGGCAGGAAAATGATCCATAAATCCATGTGTCCACTTTATGGCATGGTGCCTCAAATGATGAATGCTGTCACGTTTTGATTAAAAAAAAAAAAAAGGAAGTCCATAAAAAAAAAAAAATCAGTTTAGTTGTTCCCCTGTTGCATCCTTAACATTTTTCATCCTGAACTCATTTAGTAGAGGAAATGGATATTTCATCAGACATGGATTTGACGTTCCATCACATTATACAGTAAACAGTACAAACGATGTTATTTTTTTTAAATGGAGAAGCTGGAAGAGCTAAGACAGTAGCTGCTGTAAGGCACTGGTTATCTCATTTAAACAGATATTAAATGTGGGTGCCAGTGGTGTGATCATCAGCTGCTTCCCACTTCGTGAATAAATTGCTTAGAAGGAGTCTTTTTGCCTACCAGATGTGACCTAGATTTAGATTTCCAAAGGCAAAAAAAAAGAAGTCTATTGTGTAAAAAACAATTGCGGGTAAAATGCATGGTAAATGAGCTTATCTCACTTTTCCAGGTGTTTAAGCTAATATGTTATGGAATTACAGCTGCATTTATGAAAAATAATTGAGGAATGTTCCAGCAAATCAAATTTGGATAAAGGCTTAGGATAGTTACTGTGTTGTTAGCAAGTTTCTAAATGGCAGAAAGAAAAGGGAGCCAGCAAAGATAATAAAAATATAGAAATTTGTGAATCTGTGAAAAGGCTCTTATAAAAGGGTCAGGGCTGGCAGTGGTATCCCACCTGTGTCGTGGTTTTGCAAAACGTCATGGAACAATATGAAGAATTACATTCCTGTTAATGCTTATGAATACAGGATTTTTTCTTAAAAGATCAGGAATTAGTATGTTGGCCCTGGGTACAACTAATGACATTGGTACATTAAATGTATAAACATCAAAAGAATAACATCCTTATCCTTTTCCTCTCTTCTCTTTTCCTTTTATTGATTCCATAGGGGCTGCCACTCGAAAACCAGACCCAGAGCCTGAGAAGCAGACCGACCATACCGTTAAAATTGCTGGAGTCATTGCAGGCATCTTGCTGTTCGTGATTATATTTCTGGGGGTTGTGCTGGTAATGAAGAAAAGGTGAGCAATTAGTAGATGTTTTCTATGTACACATTTGTATCACAGCAGCTCCTACAGCAGTTCTCAGTTTGATATTGGCAAAAGTATCCAACCGCCTTCATACCCTTTGCCACAGAATTTAAGTACTAAAGTACTGCTCCTTTCCACCCCCAAAGCTTCGTTGGGCTTTTATGAAACAGCAGTATCCATTTCATCCCACAGCATTTTCTATGAATTAACGTTTGTGGCTTTGTTATAGAAGAAAAACAACTCGAGATTAACGATTCTAGCGCTTTATGCATTAGTACTGCATGATGGACTCTAATAATAGAACAGCATCTCTGTCCTGAAAGTGTGAGTCTCCACTCTGTTCAACAGATCAGCTGAAAGTTAGATGTATTTTCATTTTTGTATGTAAAAGAAATCCTCAGTCAAACAGGAAATAGAGCTAAGGTAATTTGTGCTAAGAATGGGGACTGTGTTTTTCTGCATAAACTTCGTTCGCTGAAAACAAATGAAAATGTTACAGTGGTGCTGAATGTTTCTGAATGCTGGTTCAACACACACACACATTGAGATTGTTTTGCTTTGAATATAATTTGAAAACTGCTACAACGTTAGAAGTGTAAAGGGAAAAAGAAAAAAGGGAAAAATATCTCATAACTAGGGAGGTGGCATGGGTAAGAAAAAACCCCATGTGATGATAGAAACTAAGTCTAGACTGGGAGAAATTCATTAGCAAATAGAATTAAGGTTTTAGGTTGTATCCTGAGCGATGTGAGATTTGCAGCTGTGGAGGTGGGGTTCAGAACGTGTGAGAGCGGTGTAAAGGGGCCAAGTCATGAATTCTCCTTTCACGTCTGCCACAGTCTTCTCACTGTCCCATACCCTCTCACCTCCTTGCCATTCACCCTGGATTATTCCCTTTTCTTCCTTTGAGACCAATCTTTGCCTGATTTTGCTCGCCCTAACACTGTGTGATTTAATTGTATGTTAACTACTTTGGCAGGCCTGAGATAGTCCAAACCCCTGAGCTGCCTGAAATTCTTCCAGAATTTGAACAGTGGAGGCGCGTAGCTAAGGAGGCAGCTGCCTGACAGGGCCTGAGGGCGGGCAACAGAAGTAGCTGCCTTTCGCTCTCCTTGAAGACAGAAGCAGGGCCGTGAGTTAGAAGGGCTCTATGCAGAGAAAGGTGAGCTGTTGGCCAGAGCTGGGGGCTAGGTCATGACAAGAGGTAGGTAAAGCAGTCAAAAGCTGCCATACAGAAGGGATTGAGACTTAAGCTCCAGGGTAAGTCTGGCTAGGGCAATGGCATTGACCCAGTAACCAAATCTTATCAATAAAGTACAGTGTAGCAGAGTTAAAATCTGTTCTGGATTTGCAGTACTTTTTTCTTCCCACTTCTGATTTCTTGCATCATTCATACCTTCAGTTTTAACAGTTGAACTCCCAAACTCCTCCCTTGGGCCAGACATAGCACTTGGCATGCAGGGAGGAAGGCCAATCCTTCTTCACACAATTCCTGACCGGCATTCATCACTCTCTCTCTTCCAGTTCTGAGCCTCTCCTTAAGCGTTTGTGCCGAGGGTAGAATATGTTCACCCAAGAGAAACAAGTTCTTCTTAATCTTGAAGGGAGAGCATTGCAGAATGATCCAAATAGTTTTGAAGTAAATAAGGTGTCGGGGTCTCTGGCTAAATGGATGCTATACCAGCTCTTCCTTCTTTCTCTAGGGAAAAGCTCTTTGATAATCTAATTGTTAGAGGCAGGAAGGCTCGAATCCTAAGTGTTTGCATGTTAATGCAGAAGGATACTTGATTCCTTCTGTCTACCACAGCACAGTAATTATTATTCATAGTAATTCTGTTGTTGGAAGAAAAGTGCATTATGTGAGCTTCTTTGGGGTTTGGAATAAATCTGCTTGTGACAGAGCTGAAACTATTGAAAGTACAAGTCCAGGAACTCTGCTACCAAATACATACAATATCTTTGTGTAGTACACAAAGAATTATACCAATAACTTAAGCATATCCCATAATGATACTCCAGTGTTGAACAAAACAAACTGTGAAATTATTTGAAGTGAATATTAAGAAGTAAGAATGGGTCATCTGTGTAACAGGATGTGACTAGGCTTTAATGAGAGTTTCAGGAGGTAGGTATATTGTGTCCCAGACCTCTAAAGCAGACGCTGTGGCATAGAAGGTCTTGAATACAATTACACTCATGACTTAAGCAAAAGATGAACCGATTATTCAATAGATTGTTATTGGTGCATTAATTCACTATGCTGCTGAGAGCCCCTATGGTTTCACCTTGGTTCAGTTACTGTGTATACATTATGCATTTGAAGAAAATGTATGAATCATTCTGCAAGCTTAGTATAACAGTAATGTTTTTGCAGTTTTATGATACTTCAGGTGCTACTTTGTGAAACAATCTTATCAAGCTAGCGTGTCATTTGACTACTGCACTTGATCATTTTATTTCATTTACTTTATCAGGAGTTTTACCAGAGTAAAGATCTGAGTGAAAAATAAAATAGTACCTTGCAATTCAGTGGCACCTTTCCTCTGAGAACCACTTTCCTTTCTGCACTATTATGTGTAGACTCTCTGGGCTACAATGCTAGCTTTCACCACACTGAGTCTACGTGCTCTGCATCTTGTCTTGCTTGGGGTTGGCTACAGCAATATCCCATTCACTCTCCACTATCCCAAAGCATATCCCAAGGCATATACTGTCTGTTATTTTCTTTCACAGAAATGGGTCCTTGTAGACTTGATCTCCAGATCTCACCAGTAGATTAAATTTACTGTCTCTGAGGCTTCACAGTGCTTAATTAACTTAATTTCAAACCATTTCTTTCCATTGTCAAGAGATTTGGGAAGCGGTTTTACTGTACATGATAACCATGACTTTGTCCAACATATTCCTTTAATAGCCACCTCATTTCACCCAGCAACCATTCTTTGCTTGGTTGGTGCCATGCACCACAGATTTTCACAGATCAGCCTCTCTGACTTTTAATTCAAGACAAGACCAACATTCAAAGCAGAGTTTTCAGTGCAGCACAGACATGCTTTGGATATGGTCACTATCAAAGCAGTAGGTAGAAAAGTTCTGCAAATACCAATAGTCATTAGGCATCATTATTAATTTCACTACATAGCGCTCTTCTGAAGTAGTTACACTATCAAATGGGTCACAGAGAGATTAGGTGGCCTAACTAGTCAGTGTGTGGTATGGAGTCACTAGTGAATAGGGACATCATGGACACTAAAACATTTTTCTGTGTGGACACTCAGTCTTTGACTAAAGTAAACCAGATTTGCATGCTTGTCACCTGGGTCAGGGAAAAACTGTTTGTGCTTTCCTGGTTTTCTCCCCACTCGGTTGTTCAGAGTTCTTTATCTGTTCTGTTCTATCTTTATCCATTCAAGTACATTCCTGCATAAAGATGTCATGTAATGTAGACTAGGAAGCTGCAAGCTATTCCTAATACCAATACAGTCATATCAATGAGTTGATTCTTGTGTGAAGTCAGAGTAATGCCAGTAGGCTTTGCTCTCCTCCGCTGTGCTCTGAATCTCTCATGCAAGAGTTAACACAAAGTCAGTGGAAACCAATACATGTGTTTCCACAATATTGCTCCACAGTAAAGTGGATTTTGAATCTGATCCTGAATATTAAATCTCAGGCAAGGCCCTTGATCTCCGCCAGTCTTTGATATACCTGCATAGGACTTTATAAAAAATAAAAAAAATGAAAAATAAAAAATGCAGCAAGTAAGTTCACCTTTTGGTCAACTTAAAGTAGAGCAGTGAAAATGAGAGAACCGTTCTCACAACCTTTGGAAAAGCAATAGCAATTAAATCAAGACTTGGAAAAATCAGAACCTTACTACTTTATTCTTCTCCCTTTTTCTTTTTTTTTTTGTTTTGTTTTTATATTCTGTTTCAGCTAAGTTTAAAAAATACACAGAAGTTGAGAAATTAGATTTATTGGTCCAAGTTTTGCTTAAAACTATATATGTCTTTGGGGCAGCTGTTTCTTTTGGGGCTACCGTCTTGCTGCTGCAGTGGGAGTGCAGTAAGAAAGCGGTTATTAAAATTTAATTACATTGGCTTCTGCTTCACTTGTAGAACGGAGTTTTTCTGATCATTGCATTTCTCCATAAAAAAGGTTATTTTCTTTTGTCTCTCTTTAGTTTCTGTTCTCAGCTGTCTCTATGCCTGAGCCTTCCAGTAGTTTCTAACATATGTAATTGTGGCATCTGTTTAACTCGGAGACCCTGGTTCTTGGCAGTAGATAAGGAAGGCTGTTGCATTCAGTGGAGCTGGGCTGGGAATGCATTGGTCCCATTCCCTGATAACAAATCAGGCTGTTCAGTTGTACACCTTTGCCAACAAATTCAAGCAGTTAGGATAGAAGTTGGAGATAATAGGGCTGAAGGAAAACTCCAGTCTTCGCCCAGTGCTACCCCTGAACCTTTTTTTCCCTCTAGGCCAGCTACAAAAGAGAGACGATAAAAGAAATCACTGTGGTAATTACACAGTTCCAGAACTTTTCCCTTCTAGTGGGACAATCCTCCTGTGGCCAGCTGCGTTGGTTTTGAAAAATTTTGTAGTGGGGCCTTATTCTACAAGTGCTATTTATGAAATTTATTAATGTCTTCAGTCCTGAAGGATATAAAGTGCTTTATATTATCACTCTACACAGAAACAGTTTATTGACATGAAATAACCTCTCTAGTGGGAAGTGACTGAAGAGCCACACACAGAAGAAAATTTGGCCAAGGTTGGCCAAAATCTTTGCATCGCTCTCTTTAACAGAAAAAGAATTTTCATACATAGAGAGCGAGTAGGTTTGTATACATTTTGTAGGAAGTAAAATGGAACTTGTTTGTATTTCTTAAAAAAGCTAAATCTTTTCAGTTATGAATGGTGCTTTTGCATGTTGCTTGAGGACTTGCAAGTCTAAAACCTTCTGTTTCTGTAGGGTTTTAATTTTTTTTTTTTTACCTGTTTTTTTCAGCATCTGGTATTTTTGAGAGTCAAAAAACACATTGCTCTTTTTCAAGGACTTTAATATGGAAAATCTCACAACTGTAACAACATAAAAATAACTGAAGCTTGTGACTTTTAATTTTTCTCATCTTATACAAATCTTTAATGGGACATTTACACCAATTAAAGCTCCTGGATTTTCAGCATTTTTTTCATAACGAATAATTTGTCTCTATAACATATTTGGCAGAATTCTGCATTTAAGTACCAGCAGTGCTTCACTGATTAATTGTATTTATTGTTGTTTCCCAAATTATTATACATCTTTTAGAAGTATGAGAACATTTGTACTAATTACATTAAATCTCTGTCATGGCAACATACGGCAAGAAACAGGGTTGGAAGTGTCACGAGATTCTAAATGAAAGTGAGAGATTGAGTAATTCTGAAAAGAAGGGCAGGGGGAGATGGCTGAACCAGAAAACAACCCCTTGCTAATAGATCAGGTAAGTTGATCTGCTTTGATAGGACCTGATCCTGTGCTCCTTTCTGAAGGCAACGGCGTATGTGCTAGTGGAAGAAGCATGTAACTGTTTTGCAGCTTTCCCCTTACTCTATTCTTAGGTATGTTTTAAAACTCAACTTAACAGGTGTGCATTTTTGCAGATACACCACATGATTAAATATTCAGTATCTAGCCTCTTCTGTTTGAACAATACTGTTTGCATCAGAAAAATAGGAATAAAAACTGGGAAATATTTCTAACGGCATCTTCACACAAAGAAGATGAGAGAGAAAATTTGATGAAAGCCTAGTTTTCAAAGGGATGCCTGAAGCATGTAGCTAGAGGCAAGTTAACGTTAGTTACAGTCCTTTGCAAGGCCTGTTTACATGTTTCCTCTGTAGTCAAAGGGTTGTATGCATGTGCTGTAAAAATTACAAATGCCTACATGGTTCCTTTCAGTCTTTTATCTTACCAACATGTGAATGCTACTTGACATTATGCTCAGAGATATTTTAAGATCTCCAGCCTCTTTTTAATTGCACACAGTATATGGAATTCATTTAGGTTGGAACGTGCCCCTTTTGGAGAGTTGCAGTCCTGCTTGTAGTGGGCTCATAACTGAGAGAGGGAGAGATGTAAAGCAGAAGAGTGTAGCTGGAGGGCTTCTATACTTTGTGCTCATGCAGCGCATGTCTGGCTGGAGGATCTGGCTGTGCAAGAAGTGACGCGGGAAAGGCTGACTGGGTCCATGTTTCTCAAGATGGTGGTGCTAGGTCTCCAACTTGTTGTTTGTGATACATGTGGGCATAAGTAACAGGGATACAGGATCAGTTCTTATTTTTTCCTCTGCCACATGGGGAAATACCACCAAAATAATTTTAGCCAGCAAGGATATCCTTTTTATTTGCGTGGCAAGAAGTAATTTTTTCTTCAGAAATGGTTATTAAAAAAGCTGAGATATTAAAAAAGCTGTGGCCATTGATTTTTCCCCTCTGGATACAACTTTTAGTCCTGTCCATGGCAGAACTGATTTCTTCAAGTAAAGGAAGGGATATCCGAAGATTCTACAGTACTATGACAGGAAGAGAAGCTACTTAATACATGTTGTGAAATTCTGCATTGTTAAACATATAACACCATGTTAGAAGTTCCATATCCTTATTCCTAATGCAGTTGAGGTGTAATCAGAGGTGTTTTATCACTTTGGGAGTGTTGGTGTGTATAGTATATGCAGAGATAAATATACATTACATACCTAACATTACTTAGGTAGTAGGTGTACTTTAAGGCAGTTTGATTTAATAGTTGGAGTTGCATTATATATTGTATTGCTTAAAGTTCTATGGAGATTGGATATGTCATCTGTCTGTTCCAGACACGTTGCATGATATGCCCAGATATGCATTCTTGCTACCTTTCATTTGTGTCACCAGTTCTGGTCTCAGTTTCATCTTGTTTTTTCATACATTAATATTTGGCTTTTCTTTCCTTCCATTTCATCTTTTCCACCACTGCCTAATCCTTCCACCATCATGGCAGAAGAAGCTATCACTCCTACACTTATTACCTGTAAGTAACTTCTTTGTCATCAGAGACACACTTTCTGCCACGTTGTTCCATGCATAAGTAGTGAATGCTAATGTTGAAAGTCCCTTTATAAAAACGAACTTCGTAAAAGTTTTACCAAGATGAAAACAACATGGTCAATAATGTAATGAAATACTTGGCTTTATAGCAGTTTCTTATGCCTCATACTGTGCATTAGAGTCCTTTGGATATCATTATGTAATGAGTTTTCTTAATTGAAAAGTAGTAGGTATAAATATTACTGCCATGTCTATGAGAAATTTTCATGGCTAAGCAACTATTTTTAGAACTTATTTAGTGGTTTCTTTCTCACTTGTTCTGTTGAAAATATAGCATTGGTTAGACATGTACAAGCATTTCCATTTGTTGCTGTGTACATATTACTACTTTTTCATGAATAATGATCATGCATAAACGTCATGAGTTACCATTACTGGAGTGAATTTCGAAGGAGAGAGCACTAAAAAATAAGGGCAAGATGAAGCATAACTTTGAGTAAGTAATAACTTTTCATTTTGATACAGTCCTTAGTAATACCATTATATGATTCTTTATTTATCGAAAGCCTTTGTTTCGTTCCCTGCTGTCAGCCGGTGATGAATGAGAAGGGTTCTTCTGTGAATTTAGCAAATCCCTTTCTGAGGCTCCTCACCTTTTCTTGCTTTCCAGGTACAAGGACTACGTGATAGTTTTTGGATTAGCAAAATATTAGGGGTCTTGCTTAGTCACAAAATGAGAAGCATTTAAGCTTGGTTAATCTTGTTGGCCAGCAGCAAAAATCAGCTTTCCAGTAGATAGTTGTCTCCTTTAAAGCTCAGGTTTAAAAGTCATGGGAAAAAAGGAAATATTTTTATATAGTTACAGAAGTTGGGGTGTTACCTGCATGAGACAGACTGTAATACTAGTTTTTCAGGTACATATGGTAGTAGCATGCTCTTGAAAGAAACACATTTCAGTAATTTTTTTTATTTAAAAAAAATACTAAGTTCCTCATGTTCCTTTTTAGTTGCTCTTCAAAATTTTGAAATATTTTTTTCAATTAATATTTTGAAAAGCATCAAACATTCATTTATAGAATTTATGGAAAAATTAGTAAATGTTTTCTATACAATGTTTTCTAGAAAACTTGGTAAGCAGAACCATGCTTCAAATGAATTAAAGCAACTAAAATTTAAACCTCTTAGTTGAAATTCCCTAAGACTTCTGAATGTATTGAAACTGCTCATTTACTTGGTAATTCAGATTTTGTATTAACATTATGTGACACTGTACATATAGTGCAATTTTTTTTTTTTAAAACTGTTCTTTAAAGCACTGTATTAATGTGAAGGTCAGAAAAAATTATCTCTTCCACAGACATAGTATTTCAAAATTTGTTTCTGTTCCTGAGATGAAAAGACTGTATTTTCCATGAAACAGGCCTTCAAAAAAAAATCAGTTTGAGACCATTTACATGTTGTATTTAAAATGTCAAAAGAGAATAATATCGTAAGTCATATAGTATGTTGTTACCATAATAAGTAAATATATTTAAATTAATATTTTAATATGATTCATGTCTCAAGGCTAAGACAAAAAAAATTGAAACAAATGGAACATTAAATTAAACACTGTTTCATTATTCAAAGAAATTGGACTATATCTTTTTTTTCTCTTTTTCCACTGACCATGGAAAATACGTGAACTGAAATATTTCTGTAAGTTTTACAAACAGGTTTTCTCCTCAGTTTTGCAGTCATAGAGACTGTTAATAGTGGATGGAATAGGGCATCTCTCTTGATTATTTGGAATTCTCAGTGGCTTCAAGAAAAGATCTGTCTTTTTGTTAGTGTGACACAAATTCAGTAACTTTGTAATTTGGGTACATCTACTCTTCCAAATGAAATTGTGTGATCTTGACCTTGTGTTCTTTTACTGGTGAAAGAAGGGAAGTAAGAGCCCTGAAAAGAGCAGACAAGATCGGCCCCCAGTAGGAGGAAATATTTTGGACCAAATTCTCCACCTGTTTACGCACCATGCAATTTCAATGAAATTGGTGGAAATCTTCGATGAATGCAGAATTCATTACAGTTTTATTTTTAGCTGAGGAAGTTAGTATGGATTATAAAATGTTGAATATTTTGAGAAACATAATTTGAAGTACTCTGGCATTGCTAATTTACCACTTCTATACTGAGTATCATATTCAAATTTACTGATTAGTCATTGTAAATGCAAGCTGTAGCATCCAAGCGAGCATCTATGCACTGAAATAGTTACTATTGTCTTGTGTGCTGCTTTCCTTGTGTGCTGTGGGCTCCTTTTCCCTAGTAGACTGCAATCTCTGCCACTTCTAGATCCATCCTAAATTAAAATTAAAAAAGAAAAAATTGGCAGATGCCTAGAGCTGCTGATGAATCATCAGAGGTGGACCTACAGCTGTGCATATTTGGCAGAGATTTATTTCTATTTTCTCTTGTGTTTACTAGTTAGCCAGTCAAGAGACGTTACAGAAAAGAAGTTGAGTACTGCCATTGAGAATTATACTTCTTTTTAATGGGCTTAAGTGCCTCTGCCAGCATCTTTCCTCCCACTCTTGCTTTCCTGAGAACTGGTGCATTTTTTACCTTTTACCTCTGTCAGGCAGCAGATTTTTTTTTTTTGTCTGGCCGTAGTTAGTCCTGTATGAGTTCTTTTGTTCTTAAGATTAGAGCAAATTTAGTAGTGCTCATTAACTCTGCAGCAGGTCTTTTGACTTTGCAGTCGATTCCAGGTGGGAAAAAAGAAGAATGGAGATGGTGTCATTAGTGACACTTGTAATGACTGGTGTTCTCAGCATGGCAGCCGGCACTGGCATGACTGCCTTCTCCTGACACATTTTTTGATGGGCAAAACGGCTGCAAGGTCGGCCAGAGAAGGAAAAGTACATTAGTAGTTTGTTGTGTAATTATGGTTGAATGAACTAGACAAGCCTGTTGTTCAGGTGACAACGAGTGCCACTGTGCTGACCGATGGCCATTAACTTTTGTATTTGAGATCTTAATTTTGATAAAGATTCAGCCCTCGGAGATCATTAGTCATTAGTCAGGAGCTAACATTCATGCAAATTCAAGCATCAGACACACAAAATAAGTGCTTGGATCCATCTGAGTTTACTCAAGACACTGGTGCCTGGTCGAGAGTGCAGGGAGTTCAATTCACCCCAAATTCTGGGGCAGATAGTTACAGATCATAGCTGTTCCAAGTTGCTTTCAAGGAAAAACTTCATTACATTGATATGAGTAGGATGTATGCCCAATTAAAATACAAAGTTGTGAAGGTAGCTTTTGATGTGGTCCCTCAGTTTGAACTTGATATCAAAATGGTATGTTATGATTATTATTGAAATTAAGTACTTATGCAACAACAGTGCTGCACAGCAGTTAGGTGCATAATGTTATTCTATTTTTGTGCCTTTTCACCAGTCATTTCAACTTGTGAAAAGTGAAGTAGGGAAACAGGAGGCAATTATTGCCCAGTATTCTTAGAAAATAGTAATCATGTTGAGATCTTAATAGTGTGAAATCTGGTATTGTCTGTCCCAGCACTAGTCATCTAGTTAGGTGAATTAGGACAGAATTGCATCACAGGTACGTCCTCTGCATGGAAATCTCAATCCAGAAGCCTAATACAGTGTTGAAACATTACTAAAATGGACAGCATAGGACTAGAGGTCCTATTTCCTGGGACTTTGTATATGACTCAAAGAGGACAAAATTCCTCTTACAAGAAAATTAATTGTACAGACATTGAACTTTTTCATACAAATGTGAATAAAAACATACCCTCCTTTTCATGAGAATTTGACAGTTTGTGGCCCAGTTGAATTACACTTTTCCTATGTATCTGACTTGAGCTCAGGAGCCTGGGAGTCTGTTTTCAGTTTAGTTATCTCTGTGTCTCTTGCTTCACTAGCAGATTTTCAGTGCTGGCTTCTGGAGGTCTGTACAGAAACTTAATTCGTGGCTCATTTCCTCAATCCCATTGCAACTGACCTAGTACTTATAGCAGAAAGCACGAGGTTAGCAGATTTGCAAAATGACCCTAATAATCAAGAGTCATAAAATGTCCAAAAAATCAATGGCATCGAAACTCTTAACTGATTTCTGGATAATTCCAGGAAATATGCAGTCTTCACATTTAAAACTTCTGTCGTAATTTGAAAATAGTAAGGGAGGTTAGAAATAGCCCTGTATTCTCAACTGCAGCTGCCCCTGGAACTAGAATAAGTTCATCAGTTTGCATCTTGCAGATGGAGGATCACACTGAACAGAAAAATATGAATGTGTTTGAACTGTTTGATCTGTTAGACTACACCAGTGATCTCTTCTGAGTCTTTAAATATGCATAGTTACATAGACCTGTAACATAGAATCATGTAAGCCAAAATAAATGTGGATTTCTGTAATTGTCTTGTAAGCTAGACTTAAATGATTTCGGGACGTCCAATGAGTTTTGTTGCATCTGGCAAAATCTAGAATGCCAACGTATTGAAATCTTTGGAAAATATGCAGTGCACAAAATAGCAATGAAGGTATCTTACTAAGTCGCCATTGCTGAAAAATGCATTTGTGGGCCATGTGCTATATGCTTTGAGTACAGAGGTATGACATCTAGCTTTATGCAGAGATATTAAGCAATCTCAGAATATTATTTTTAATTAAAATGAACTACATAATTTTTAAAAATCTATCTGAAGTCATTATTTCTTATACTAATTCCTTGTATCTTCTGATTCTTTGGATCTGATTGTATTGCCAAGGCTTACATTCCTATTTCTCTGTAGAAAAAACTGTAAATAATCCTTAACACTCAGACCACCAGTAAGTAAATCCTTTTTTTTTTTTTTTTTTTAATTTTATTAGCTCTTTCTGAAGTATGTGAGCCCCCCAGCGCAGTGATCTGACTGTATGGAATAGCTTTCTTGAGGTGCAACAGAGATCAGATCATTCATGTGGAGGAAT